GGGTTTCCACTGCGTGAAAGAGACGGACCTCGTCATCATTCACTCAAACAAGCTCAACCTCACCGGCCCCGGTGCTGCTCTGAGGGGCTTGGGTCATGTGACTGCGCCTGCTATACAGAAGCACTGGTTTGTTGAAAACACTGAGTATTTGGTTCTTCAGCTGAGCAGAGGCCTCGCTGTGGGAGCGACTTACGCACTTCACACTGAATTTCAGGGCGAACTGGCGGACGACCTCCAAGGCTTCTACAGGAGTGAATATGAGGAGGACGGTGTGAAGAAGTAAGCACTGACTTGGCAACACACACGAGTCATCAGTGAAGGGAGTCCTGTGTGTTGGTTTAGGTCTTTTTTATTTTTGGAGGTGGATTGTTGAATGAAAAAGCTGAAATCTTTTGCAGAATTGTCGCTGCCTCACAGATGCAGGCAACGTTCGCCAGGAAAGCGTTCCCGTGCTTTGATGAACCCGCCATGAAAGCTGTCTTCAACATCACCATCATCCATGACCCCAGCACCGTGGCTCTGTCCAACGGCAAAGACATTGGTTTGTTGTAGAGAGAGTCGTTTTCCATGTTTTCATCCTTTTGGCTGAACAAGTTTGACACACTGTAAATATTTAATCACAATTAATGTTAGTGCAACAACCCAATCTGACAAAAGTGATAAAAGTACAATACCATATATTTTTTTAAAAACAACATCATGACTATTGCAAACTATTTTATGGAGGCTGCGGTGTGGGATGAGGCTTTTGTCGTTTGGCAATCAGTAGGTACAACAGCATTGTTTTTCATTAAAGCCGTATAGCGCACAATAAAAGAGCACTTCATTTTTGAGACGGAGTTAGTGACTTTATCGTATCAGCGTACTACGGTGATTTCCCGTCGACAGTAAACATCTAGGGTACAATGTAGCATGAGTTTAAAGCTAAATTTAAATTAAAATTAAACAATAATAATTGAATTTATTAATTTTGTTTGTATATTCACATTTTGACTCTGTTGCTTAAAATTTTTTCTAGGTCTAGAAGGTTCAGGAAAAAAAAAAAAACACGTGTGTGAGGAGGTGTCTGTTTTTTCTTTTCCAGGGAAACAATCTGTTTTATTATCTACTTGGACCAAGTACAAAATACTTCACAAAGACGGTGTCTACGTTGCTTAAATCATGACAGGCCCAGTTACAAAAAATGACAAATGTATCAGAAAAATAATTTTTTAAAAAAAGTTGCGCAACCTTTTTCAGCCCTACTAATAATTACATTTGAAGTGAAAACGGTACCGACTGGTGACCTTGACATTGTTTATGTCGTTAATGAACAAACAAACATGTGAGTGAACGCTTCCATTGTAAATAATTAAGAGCTGGACCAACAGATACTGTTACAGAGCTGACAGAGCTGAGTGTCAAAGGTCGGACTCATCCTCTGTCTGCGCAGATGTTGCTGACACTGTCATTGATGGCATCCCAGTCAAGGTCACCAAGTTTGAGCCCACGCAGAAAATGTCCACGTATCTGCTGGCTTTCATCGTCAGTGACTTCGTCAGCATCGAGTCCAGACAAAACCATTTGTTGGTGAGAAATTTCCCGTTTGTGCTTCACTGTTGTTGCATGTCAGACACTATATTAGACACTGTTGCCTTGATTTCTCTGCAGATAAGAATCTGGGGTCGTAAAAAAGCCATCAACAACGGACAGGGTGAATACGCTCTCAACGTAACGGGGCCGATCCTTCAGTTCTACGAGCGCTACTACAACGCTTCATATCCACTCTCCAAGTCAGGTATGCTGACTCAGAATTTATTTAAATGACACTGGTGACAAAGTGCAGCTGAGATGTTGTTACCGAGTCACATGGAACTACACACCAGCAGTGAAATGAGTGCTGCGACAACTAATATAGGAAAAAAAAATAGAATTCATTTAGAATTTAAGAAAATTGATTAGGAGAGAAAGCTGAAGTTCATAAATAACAATGTTGGACAAAAAATATGTCACCTAAGTGTCTGTCCGGAGAGACAGACTTTTGTTTTTAGACAACCACACACATGTTCAGCTCTGGACGGCCACATACAGTGACGTAGTGGGCCGGATTTGGCCCGCAGGCCTTGAATTTGACACTTGAATGCACTGTCATGGCTGGTGATTGATGTACCACATGCTGGATCCCCTCTCCCTGTAGACCAGGTAGCTCTGCCGGACTTTAACGCCGGGGCGATGGAGAACTGGGGCCTGGTCACGTACAGGGAGACGGCGCTGCTCTACGACCCCCTCGTTTCCTCCATTTGGATCAAGAAGAGAATCACGTCTATCATCGCTCATGAACTCGCACACATGGTGAGTGATGTGGTGTTTCGTCAGGGTTCTGATTCGTCCTCCCCGGTCAGACTGGAGATGACTTATTGTAACCTGGGGATTATCTAACTGTCCTCCCTTGTTTTTATAGTTGTGGGCTTTTCTTCAGCCTCCTCCTCCGCGCCTTACACTGAAATTGCTTTGGGATAATAACATTTTGCAAAGTCTGTGAAATAAAATCCTCTGTCAGGGGCTGTGTAGAGATGTGAATCTGATTGTGATTATTTTCCCACCCATTTTACCGAGTGTCTGATTTCAGTGGTTTGGAAACCTGGTGACACTGCGGTGGTGGAACGACCTGTGGTTGAACGAGGGCTTCGCATCGTACGTGGAATACTTGGGAACCGACTATGCCGAACCAACCTGGAACATTGTAAGGACACCCTGACCCGTGCGGTCCAGTTCCACAGACTGTGAAATAAAATCCTCTGTCAGGGGCTGTGTAGAGATGTGAATCTGATTGTGATTATTTTCCCACCCATTTTACCGAGTGTCTGATTTCAGTGGTTTGGAAACCTGGTGACACTGCGGTGGTGGAACGACCTGTGGTTGAACGAGGGCTTCGCATCGTACGTGGAATACTTGGGAACCGACTATGCCGAACCAACCTGGAACATTGTAAGGACACCCTGACCCATGCGGTCCAGTTCCACAGATTAACAGCATCTGTTCTCACTCTCCTCTCCTCCCCTCTCCTCTCCTCTTCACAGAGAGACTACATCGTTCAGTACGACTTGCACAAGGTATTTTTAGTGGACGCTCTGGCCTCCTCTCACCCACTGTCCTGTCCAGAAGAGGAGGTCAGTGACCCGGCTCAGATCAACGAGATGTTCGACTCCATCTCATACAGCAAGGTCAGCTCCTCTGTTTTTTTTGTCCTAAGACTCAAATGTGAAAATCCAGGTTGGGTTGTGATGAAGAGCAACAAATCCCTTAGTGCTGGTGCCAAGTTGTAGTGATGGTATTGATACAACTAATATTATGGAGCAACCACACTGGCCCAGTGACTCTATGACTGGTAACTGAACAACTGCCAGTTCAAATCCCGCAGCAGAACTGTGTTCTATTAAGTAAGAACCCAAAACTCATCACTCTCAGAGATTTTTTGCAGACCAGCCAATAACAATGACTCCACTCATTGTTTTTCGTGTTCATTGTTTTCCATCTGTACTGACGTCAGCATCAGACTGTTGACTGCCGCTGACACACTGGTCTTTTCTGATTCTTCTTTCTTTAAAAATCCTTTTTGTGTTTGAAGATTTCAAATTTCACTGCAGCGTCTTCCCAGCGTGTACTACAAATTATTTTTCAAACAAACTTTTTCACCCCTGTGTGAGCCAGGTGTTGAGACACATCACATAATCGCCCAAAATAACACTTTCCTTTCCTTTGTATAAAAGTGCATTCTATTCCAAACTTAGATTGATATTTTTATTAAAAATAAAAAAGAATCACTGCCATAAAAAATAATCTTAACTCGTCCTGGTGTGAATAGGATTAGGATTGTTGGAACTTGTTTATTTTTTATTTCTGTTATTCCTGGCATTTGTGCCGTTTTTGGTCTGCTCACCTCATTTTGGTGACACACTGTCAATTGTAAAGACAAGTGTTTTTAGTTATTAGTTTCCTCATAATGTCCTTGTTTAAGCTTGTACGTCAGAGAGACCAAAAAAACAAAAACAACAATTTATTGTTAGTGTTTATGGGTTGGCGGGTCGAAAGAAAGACCGGGAGCTGACATTGTTGTATTAGTGCATTAGCACTATTTCCCAGTGATTTATTTAAAGCTTCCTGCAGTGAATTCTGCCGACAGGGCAACATGTTGTTTTGATATTTGCTTTGGACCGAGTACAAAAAAAACTCTGTGAAAAAAACAGAAAAGAAAAAACAAAACAGAAAAGAAATCTGATTTTATGAGCAATTTCATGCAACCGGAGTCTTGTGGTTTGTGTGTTTGTCGTTCACAGGGAGCGGCTGTGCTCAGGATGCTGTCGGAGTTTCTCACAGAGCCCGTCTTTGCCAGAGGACTCAGTGTGAGAATTAACCCTGTTATAAATATAAACCCCATCACTGTGTGAGTCGCAGTTTGTCTGGGCGCCGGTGGTGTGGACGTTCTGTGGATGTTACAAATCAAACCTTTTATTTATTTTTTGTTGTTAACCACAGATTTAGTCTGATGTTTTTTACTTTTAACCAAACCTCCTTCATTTCCCATGTGAAAAACTAACCTCTTCTTCACTTCTCCCCCCCCCAGTCCTATCTGAACACATATGCCTTTGGCAACACGATCTACACAGACCTGTGGGATCATCTCCAGCAGGTCAGTTGAGATGAAAACCTTTTTTTTTTTTACAACTCACTGAAGTCGTGGTGTTTTTTGTTTCATCTTATAATTGTTTCTCCCCTTTTTGTTTTCCTTCTCAGGCAGTGGATAACACTCCAGGTATTCATATTCCGTGCTCGGTCCATGACATCATGAACAGATGGACTCTCCAGATGGGTTTCCCAGTGGTCACAATTGACACCCGGACAGGAAGAATCACTCAGAAACACTTCCTGTTGGATCCAGATTCGGTGGTGGAGAGAGTGTCTCAGTTCAAGTAGGAATTACAACACACGTCGAGTCCCATATCCTGTAAACGGAATAAATAATGAGGTCTTTTGTTTTTTTTCAAATGCAGTTGCTTCCTTTGGGATCCAACTTTACAGTCATTGTTTTACCTTTGGACAAATGTAGTAAGACAGCTGCGGTGGCTAACGGCTCAGTCATCCACGTCATTTTATCTGAAGCAGTTCAGTCGAGGCGACTGGACTCTCATCCAAAAGGTTTCTTCAGTCCTGATTTACTGCTGGAAAAAAGCTAAAACCTTAGCCTCAGAGTAGCAAAACACTCTAGAGGCTAAGGTCACCACGCCCTGACCTTAGGAAGGCAGGAATTTTTCTGATTACCAGGGTCAAGGTGTGACCAGGGAGGTATCGCCTGAGGAACCTAGAAAATTGTCCTATAGATCTGAAGAAGACTCTTGGATGAAGAGGCGAAACGCCTTGAAGACACTGTTGCCTTCTACTGAACTGATTTTGTTTTTATGACAGTGCTGAAGCGAAGACGTGAAAGTCAACTCTCTCATCAGAATTAGACAATGACTTCCTGTTCCTGGTAAACACTATGACTTGTAAAAGCACTCACTGCCAAACTGTGCCGTAAACAACGTGACACGTACAATGACACAACTGTCGTGGTCGCTAAACAGAACACCCAGTCACAGAGCTGACAGTAATCTGGAGAACTTGTTTTTAACCACAGTGAACTGCTGGGTGCAGCCCACTGCAGAAATAGTCGCAGGGTTTGGTTTGGTTTGTAAAAAAAAAAATATATGTATATATATTATATATATATATATATTAGGGATGACCGATAATAACTTTTTGCTGATATCTGATTTGCCGTTATTGTCCGAACACTTAATTTTTTACTATTTTTAGGTTACGTCATCTGGGAAACCTAGGGTTATTGGGTTTTCATTATCGGAGGAAAAAAAACGATAACGATTCTTTCCGATATTACATAATTTAGCTAATATTGGCCAACCGATATTATCGGACATCCATTATATATACCCGATAATGTCAATCGGTTGGTATTAGCTTAATTATGTAATATCGGTATATATATTTGTATATGTGTTTATAAAAATATGTATGTAAAATTGACTTTTTGAATGATAACATTGTTCATATAACATTTTCACTGAGATCCATCGTCCAGACGTCGTCATCTTTTCTGAACACTTTTTTTATGTAAAATTGACTTTTTGAATGATAACACTTTCACTGAGATCCAACGTCCAGACGTCGTCATCTTTTCTAAACACTTTTTTTTAATTTCTCTGTATCTGCTCTAGCTACACATGGTTTGTCCCAATTAAATGGATGAAGGCTGGCGTAGAGCAGCAACAGTACTGGCTCCTGCAGGAGACAGGTACAAGGATCTTCTTATTCAGAACATCACAAACAAAGCCTATTTGACATCTTTTTTTTTTTTTTTAATATATATTTGTTTGACCCAGATGTCAACAGTCAGATGAGGGTGTCAGGACAGGACTGGGTGCTGGCAAACACCAACGTGTCAGGATACTTCAGGGTCAACTATGACCTGGAGAACTGGGAACGTCTGCTGTCTTTGCTCAACACCAACCACCAGGTGAGTCACAGGTTCGGTTCTCTGATCACTATCATCAAGGTTCATAGTGGCTTTGACCATGTCAAGAGTGTGACACAACCTGCTGTGAGATATGCATTTTCTGAAAAGGCTAGTAGTCTCCCTCCAGACTCTTGTGGTCTAGAACATAGACTGGTAATGATTCCTTCTTCACTTTTCTTCTTCTTTTTCTTTCGGCTTTGTCCCCTTTTTTTTCAGGAGTTGCTACAGCAAATCATTGATTTCCATCTCTCCCTGTTCTCTGCATCTCCTACTCTGACTCCAACTATCTGGAGGAAAAAGAAATATTGTTATTTGTAGTTAATTAGGTTATGATTGTACTGGTCCAGTCCATTTCTAATCTAACTCAGTTGAATGCGGCCCTTGAGAGATTCATGTACCTGGTGAAGGTCGCACATCCAGTTCCCAGACATTAATATTGTGATCATCATTCTTCCAGGCTCTATCAGTCATCAACAGAGCACAGATCATCGATGATGCGTTCAACCTAGTTAGGTAAATGTTGAATATATTGGATTTTTTTTCTTCTTCTTTTGGCATGGCAACCAAGTGACTTATTATTCCTTATTTTATTGCACAGAGCCAAAATAGTGAACACCACGTTGGCCTTGAGAACGACCAAATACCTGCACAAGGAGAGAGACTACATCCCCTGGGAGTCGGCTCTGAGAAATCTCCGCTACTACATCTTCATGTTTGAACGCACCGAGGTCTTTGGAGATCTGCAGGTAAGAACTCCACGACAGCGGGACAGTAAAGTGAAGGCGACTGTACATAAAAACTACCGTTGGTTTATTTCAGGCGTACCTCAAGCAGCGAATACAACCGCTCTATGAACACTACCGGACCCTCACGGCCAACTGGACCAAAGTTCTGACGCTCCACACTGACGTGTAAGAACTCTCTTCTGCTGACGCGGCCTTTTAGTTACTGTTTAGATGGAATTCATCTTCATCTTCTTCATCTGCAGATATAATCACATCACTGTTATCGATGTGGCCTGCGTTGTGGGCGTACGGGACTGCAAAGAGTTTGTCAAGACAGTGTACAGAGAGTGGATGGACAATCCAGTGAAAAACCCGTGAGTTTAAGACGCTACTGTTTTTCTTTATTATCTTTTAAATCCCACAAATAAAACCAATCTTTTTGGAGCCGATGATTATTTAAATGTTTACTGAATAACGCGTCAGTACGTGAATAAGTTTTCAACAAGCTTCATCTTCAACCCCGACAGAATCCAGCCCGACCTGAGGAGCACAATTTACTGCAATGCCATCGCCCTTGGTGGGATGGAGGAGTGGGATTTTGCATGGAGAATGTTCCAGAACACAACTGTGGCTTCAGAAGCATCGTTGCTCAGAGGAGCCATGACCTGCACCAAACTCCCGTGGCTTTTGAACAAGTAAGTGTCGAAGATGGAACGGGACTCGTTCTGTAGTGAAGCTTCGTGGCATTTATGACTTAATGCTGTTTCAGTTGGAGTCGGTGTTAATTTATAAGTCAAATAGACCAATATATTTGGTCGGCAACTTAGTCCACGACTTTCCTTTCTACGACGAAAGCGAATAAAACAAAAAACAAAAAACAAAACAAAAAAACAACAAAATACAAACTCATGCGGGGCTAAATGGCGCAGATGATGACGATGGATTCAACGATGCGAATTAACGAAGTTCACGAAGTTCAATGTGAACTATATATATATACATATATATATATTTTCACAGTATTTATAGGTATTTTCTCAGTAAGTGCCTGCTCTGTCTAAGCCAGGTATCTGGGCTACACTTTAGACCCGAATAAGATCCGCAAACAGGACGCCACGGCCACGATCCAGCGCATCGCATCCAACATCGTGGGATTGCCTCTGGTCTGGAACTTTGTCAGAGACAAATGGAGTTTCATTTATGAGCAGTAAGTCGACGTCTTGTTATCGTTAATACTCTTTAGATACTACTGTGCTACTGCGTTCATATCTATACTGTTATATTTACAGTTAGTATCATATTTACTGTTATATTGCTGCTAATTATATTATAGTTATATATATAGTATATTATTATATATTTTTAGATTATACATTAATTTAGATTTTATTTTCTTTGCTCCAAATTTACTGCTACATATTAATGTTGATTCTATTAGTTTTTAGTGTTGTAAATTCCACCTTAAATATTTCAGTTAAATGTCAGGTTACAGTTTTATGTTATTTTTGTATTTTAACTTTTAACTTTTGTATTTTTGTTGAAATACTGGTGTCACTGCAGGAGTAGAGTGGAGCGGCCGTCGTAACATCTTCATATTAACGTGGCTCTTTATGTTTCAGGTACGGAAAAGGATCATTTTCTTTCTCTGGTCTCATCAGCGGAGTCACCAGAAGGTTCTCCACCGAGTTTGAGTTACAAGAGGTAACAGTGAGACACTGATCGCCGCACACGACCTTTTGCACACATTCACGTCCTTCGTTTGTCTTTTCCTCGTCCACAGTTGAAGCGATTCAAAGAAGACCACTCTGAGGTGGGCTTCGGCTCGGCCACCGTCGCCCTGGAGCAGGCCATAGAAAAGATCACAGCCAATATCAAGTGGATGGCGGACAACAAAGACCAAGTGTGGAAGTGGTTGAAAGAAGAGTTGTCATGAACCTTCAAGAACGACGACGTCCAAATGGACACGATCTCCTTTTCTACTGACCGTCAGGGTTGGACTGGATGAAAACAAACGGATAGAAATCACTATAATCAGAAAGCAGTGCCTTAACTGAGACTGGACATCACTGGACGAGAGCTTCAGTGTGAAGGTGCCGCCTCCAAAGAGGAGCAGGTGATGGAGTGTCCATTAAAAGCATTAAAGACATTTTCGTCTGACATTTTATTCTTATAACCTTTATTTTTACTGTTAAAATGTGTTGAGTTTTTTTTTGTTCCCTATATTTTTTATTTTATATGTTTTCACCACAACACGATGCATTTAATTAATAAACATGAGCCAATAGTCTGTGTGCGGAACACCAAGCTTTTTTTTTTTGTTAAAATTTGTGACGTTTCATTCTATGTTGACACGTGATGTTGAAATCATTTTTTGCCTTTATGTGGAAAGATCGAAAGATGGGGAAAAAAAGATCCTGCCAAATAAATTAATCTGATTTTTAGGGCTCCTTGTTCTTCTTCTTTTCATTAATTTTCTAGTGCTGCAGCCAATCCCAGCAGTCGTCAGGCAGAGTAGAGTGTATTTACACCCTGGACAGTTGACCAGTTCGTCGCAGAACCAAACATTCACACTCACACCTACAGAAAAAATTTAAATCAAAACCTGTTAAAACTCCTGAAGCTTTACAACAAGTTCAGATTTATTTCTGTTTTGTATTTATTTTTACCAGACAACATTCAAAAGGAACTCTATTTCAATCCTTAGACTAGAGAGAAGTAGATTGATGCCCAGTGGAAAAGACATCCCCCAGAATCCTCTGCTTGTGCTGAGACTTGGAGGACAGGATAGAAAGAACACCTTCTTATTCTCATGATTTATTTCTCTTGGAAATCTTCCTTTGTACAGTATTTACCTGCATAAAGTTTCAAATACATGTCTTGAAATTCACCGTTGTAGCCAGAAATAAACAGAACTTGTTGAAACTGATTAGTAATGAGAATAGTTTGTAGTTTTTGCCCCTTATAGTTGCGTCTGTGATGCTAATACTTATGGCGGAATGTGAAAGGTTTGCACTGTGACAGGAAACCGGTTGTGAAACAGCTGCTTCGAACATTTCCACAAATGGCCAAACTGAGTGGGTCACGGGATGACTCATGTAATCACTTCCATGCTCCCGCGTTTATTGTGTTGATGAGAATTCAATTCTCTGTTGTTGTTGTTGTTGTTGACAGCCAAGGATATTTGTTTGGTACAAATTGTTTGGAGTAATAGCAGTTCGATTTACAATGGAAGAATAAGTTACGTGGTCCCCGCTTTTACGACTTCTTACTACTTCTGTTTCTACCAATAAAAGTTTGTAATGTCTTTGTTCAAACCACCCGATCTCTCATCAAATCCTTGTGTGTTTTCACTCTGACTCATGGACTAGTATTTACTTTTTTAAACGTCCTTTTGGGCTATTTTGCCCTTTGCCGCCCTCCAGTGGACTTAAAGATTAACTGCGTTTCCTTTCCTGTTTTTTTCTTCCTGATGAGGATATGACTCCACAATGAAACAAGAACATGATCCCAGTTCAAGTTTCAACCTGATTCTTTGCCTTATCCATTCAATGACATCGAGACATCGACATTTTAGGGGGCTTTAGATATCCTGAAGACTTGTGATCCAGATAACATGTTCTGATAAATGTTTTGTATATATATAGTATAATTAATCTTTATTAGTCAATAACTTGTTTTTTGGTCCCATAATTTTGCCTCTGAGCCTGAACTTGATGTAGAGAATCTGATTTGTGTGACTTTGTTCTTCACATTGAAACAACTCTAACACCTCGTGAGCTCAGGCTAACAGACATCCAGAAGCTTCTACGTCAGAGTGTTGACATTGGAGCAACATCGATTCACACGTGGGAGAGACATCCTCCATCACAGACTGACATCATTTGTGATAACAATATTAAATCTCAGGTCACATACAGATCCAAACACAACACAAGGGGGACAACAGGAACCAGGGCCAGGGATAAAACTCCTGTGAAAACACAATAAATCAGGTCTGTGTACTCAGTCTGGGGACCGTTATTCATCAGGAGTTTTTTTCTTCTTTTTTTTACCTTTTTTTTAGGACGTCAGGCATCAGACTTGTTTACACAGGAAAGAAAAGGTGCCAATTAACAGCTCCCAGTTCAGCTGTCACCCCGCTCTGTGGGGGTCTTTCCTTAAAGCATTTAGAGGGGATTTGATCCCCATTTAACACCTCACTGTCCTGCCGACAGCTGCAATGTTTTTGTTAGGAAGTGGATTAGAACACAGACTCAGCCTCGTGTGTCTGAGTTGAAAAAAAAAAGAGGAAGTGGATTAGAACACAGACTCAGCCGCAAGTGTCTGAGTTGAAAAAAGAAAAGAAAATGCCAAGACAAGAGCATGTGTAATTCATAAAGATAATATTTATTCTCTTTGTTGTAAAAAAAAGGAATTAATAAATATAAACAGATTTATGTACAAAAACAGACAGAAACACATTTGGGTTCAAAACAACAAAAATGTGGTCAATTGTTCATAAATAAATAAGAGTCCAGACGTCATTGTTACAATGAATATAGTGGTGTGGATCAACAGTCACAACAGCGGTTGTTTCAACAGTGTCCAGTGAAGGAGACACCGTGGAGTTGTTCCTGTGGCATCCAGTAGTGGTCACTGCTGAATCCAACGTCAGTGGAAACCTGGCAACAGAAAAACAAAGTCAGGTTAGAAACTGATCCAGATGAAAAAAAGATAAAGATCATTTCATGGATGATTTAATTTGTCAGAAACGATAGAAGGTCGAAGGTCACATCTGAACATACCTGATAGGTGTTCTGAGGAGACGGCAGCGGTGCCAGGCTCAGGCTGTCACAGCCGGACTGCTGTGGTGGTCTGTAGTCGGCCGTCGTCTGACCCATGAACTGGCTGAGGGTTTGAGGTGTGTCCATGACCCTGGAGGGTCTCCTGGTCTCCAGCGCCTCCTCGCTGAGGCCCAGCTGGTCCGACAGGTGTGAGATGTAGCGGATGGTGAGGCGCAGCGTTTCGATCTTGGTCAGGGTCTGTCCTGCAGGGGCCACCGAGGGTGGGAGGTACGCCCTGAGGTGATGGAGAGCCTTGGTCAGATCCCTCATCCTCAGCTTCTCCCTCTCACTGGCCGTCTGCCGCTTCTTGCCCGGGTACTTGGACCTCGACCTCTTGGTGGTGGAGGTGGTGGCGGAGCACGACGCCCTGGAGCAAGGCAGCGTCTGGGTTTGGTCGCTCAGACCTGAGGCTTCGTGGCTGCTGAAGATAAAATGCTCCAAGGCGTCTTGGTCGTTGGTGACGGCCTGGACGGAGGTCGGGGAGAAGCAAAAGGAGTCCACAGAGGAGGTGGGAGACAGGCTGCTGCCGGCACTGAAGTACCCGGGGTCCGAGGCTGGGTCGTAGGCCGCAGGGTCGTAGGATTTCTCCAGCAGAGACTGGCAGTCAAAGAAGAAAGAGTTGTCCTGGAGCTGGAGGGGAGGGCAGTAGGACATGTCCATGGCTGTAGTCGGAGTATCTTCCTGGAGCTGACGGTGTGTGTGTTGCTGGTGAGTCAGTCAGAGTGTAGTGAGGATGACTGGGGAGGCTGCTCCATATATGTGGTGGGAGGTGTGAGGTTGCACCTCCGGCGGCCTCCTCTGGCCCATGAGAAGCTCTGGGAGCAGAGGTAACACCTAGGCCAGGGGGTCTCATGGGAAAGATGCCCGCCTGGACAAGGTGCGACTTGGCAGCACGCACGATTATCATAACCCAGAAAAAGTCACACGGCACACTCCTGCGGTCTGGGAAAATGACCCCGCTGTGGCGGGAGTTTGACCGGGGTCACAGGTTCAGTCCAGCCCTGACCCTGAGGCAGGGTCCCTACAATCACTGACACACAAGTCTGTGCTTGAATTGAAGCTTTTTGTGACTAAATATGTCCTTAGGAAAAAACATAAAATAATCATAATAACGGAAAAATTATTTACTCAAATTAAAAAGAAACAATGAACTTCAGCAGTTGGAAACTTTAAAGTTTTGTTTTAGTGTGAATTTATCTGTGAATTTGTACCCGTTTTTTCAATATTTTCTAACAGTTTTTGCAGCAGTGAAGCCTTCAGTCCAGGCTGCAGAAGTGTGCCAGTGCAGCTGCGAGGTGTCGGGAGTTGACACCTCCTCCTGTTTGGACAGGAGCACAGACTCCAAAACACAAAGAATGTGTAGCATCATTAAAAAAAAAAAAATTTTTACCTTTTATCATTTAGTCATTCAGGTCAAGCCTGTTATATAATAATGTTCTTGTGGCCCCAAAAATTTCTAAAATTTCTTAAGTTTTTTTTTTAATGTAAATTTAAATACAAATTTAAATCTGTTTTCCTTATTTATCATTCAAGTAACTAATGGACTTATTAGTTACACAAATATTCATTAACTTTTCACTCAGTTCATATTTTTATTCGAACAGACACGTTCGCTCCTCCTCCTCCTCCATCTTGTTCCTCCATCATTTATTTCTTATTAAACTCTGATCACGTGCGACGTTTTCTCGGTGAAAGTGAAGTCGACTCCAGCGTCAGGTGCAGATTGTGGCTGTGAGCTCTGAGCGGCGTTCCCACAATCCGAGCGCGTCACATTTAACTCCTTCTTTAAGTCCATGAACTGCACGTGTGAAGCGGTCTCAGGCAGCCCGCCACCTACTGGTGGAGGCAAGAAAAAGAAAACAAAAAAAGAAAAGAAAAAAAAAAACCCAAAGAAAATGGACTGTTGTGGTGATAAAATGGATTAAAAAAGTAAAACATTTTTAGGAATAGTTCATTTAATTCCTTTTAGATTTATTTGAGATGAACTTTTTTATTTTTCTAGGCTGAGAGGAAGTGTGTGAGGTGACACCAGAGCTGACAGCTGACCTGAGGAGCTGGTCTCCCCGTGACCTCTGAGTCCTCCACCAGTTTTTACTGTTAGGTCAATAAACAAGTCACTGAAGGAGCAACACTTATATTGTTGTTGTTGAAATAATAATAATAATTTTTAATTGAACTGAAAGGATCACTCAGGAGGCTCTGCTTTTATTTTTCACTGACGGAAAATATTTTTGTATCAAAATATTCCAGGAATCTTAGTTGATGGAGTTTGTCTTGATTTTCTTAAAAAGAAAACTCTCTACAGGTAGAACTCCATCCTGTTGTATTTAATGACAAGTTATTGGCAATTTTGTTTAAAAACCCACTCTGTCTCGTTATTGTAAACATATATATTTTACTCCTCCAGAACCACATTCTCCGTGATGTCATGAAGTGTTTTTCTCGTTATTGTAAACATATATATTTTAAATTCAAATTGAATTGCTACTTTTACTCCTCCAAAACCACATCCTCTGTGATGTCACCGTGTGTTTTTCCTTTTTATTCTCCTTTTTTCTTCAGGGCACTTTATCTTTTTAGTCATTTTGAACTTCATTGTTGATTACGTTGAATGTCCACAGTCTGTGAAGGAGCCAATCAGGTTCGTGTTCAACTGATCACGTGACACATGGACGCTTGAATCTGAAATGTAGCGATGCTGAGTCCAGAACACTTCCTGTGGTCATTAAATCTGTATAAAAAGTCGATTGATTAGTTGAGCTGTAGTTTACTGACATTTATCATTTAATAATCAATAATAATAATAATCATATTTTTAATACCTTAAATTTCAGTAGAACTTTTCCCTCTGCTTCTTCTTCTCTTCCCTTCAGTTTTTTGAATTTCTCCAGCTCTCTACATTCATTTCCTCTTCTCGACTGAAGATGGAAAGACCCCCCCCCTCCCTCCATCTTGGACCCCCCCACTTATTCTCTTAATCCACATCAGGCCTGACAGTGTTTACTCACATGTAATGAAAGAATAATCAGCGCCGCGGTGCTAACCCTTTCATCCCACAGCCTTTTAGCCCAGGGAGTTCATTAGCTCGGCTGTGATGAAAGACCTGTGTGAGTATATTAGGGCTTTTTTTTTTTTTTTTTTTTTGGCCTTGCATATCAACTGAGCTGCATGTATGTGTTAAACTAAACACTTCAGCCTTAATTCTGCGGACTGATATGCAGATCCTCGCAGCTCTATGAATATTAAAGCCCTCTCTCCTGGCGTTAGAGGGTAATTAAAGCTGTAGGTGAGATTAAAGGGGGGGGGGAAGAGGGGAGGGGGGTCCAAACATCTGAGTCTAGACTCAGCGGTGCCAGGGAGCTCAGCGTGTTTGCTCGGCCACATTAGTGAAGATACACTAAATAAACTAGTGATCCTGTGACGGAGACTTCCACAGGAAGTCAGCGCTGGAGGAAGTTCAATTACAGATATTCACAGATCAAAACAACGGAGTGTGAGGTGTGTGTGAGGCGGCGCGACTCTCACACACACACACACCAGAGCAGGGGACCAGTTTGACATAGGTCTTAATAAACGTTATCCAGAAGCTGCAATGGAATAAAACAGGAATTCTCTCCCAGTGTGTCTAAAATCGTCTGTGAGAGAAATGGTTAAAGTTTGTGTAAAATCCTGGTGAAAATGCAGGAATTATTACACGTTGTTTTATAATTATTTTCTTTTTCCCCCGGTAACTGAAGAATAAACAGCTTATTGCTAATGTGTTAACAACCAGAAAAGCTTGTCTTAGTTTGGGTTAAAATATCAAAATATATTTTAAGAAAATGAAGTTTGTAGTTTTTATATTAAGATATTTGAAAAAAAAATGCCTCGAAAATTTAATTATTATAAATATCTTGTCAACATCGTGTCCTGGGCCTGATGTTGGTCCTCGGGCCAGATGTTTGAGACGCTGTGCTATTATTTTTATATTAATGTCCCACTGCAGGTATGGACTTTGTGTCAAGATTTAAATAATTAGTAAACATAATAACGCTTAGTGTTACTGACTTTTTTTTAATTTTGTTCACTGCAAAAAAATAAAAATCTTAAAATCTGGTTCAAGGGTTAAAACTTTTAATTGGTTTTTAAATCATGGATTAATAACAGGAAGTAACATTTTAATTCATTTCCTGAATTATACCTGACCAGACTCACCTCTGGGTCAGAGATTTTCCAGCTTTGGCTCATCATAATTTAGGCTCTTTGTTTGCTCCAGGCTAAAACTGCCTGTGAATTATTATCCATTTCTGCACTACTCTAATAATCCACTAGAGGGAAATAACATTCGCTTTGAACTCTCCCTTAAAACACCCCAGGAATTTCTCTCTTTTTCGTCAGTGCATTTTATTTTATATATTATTTATGTCACAGTAATAATAATACATTAAAGTCTGAAATGATTTGAAACTAATTGACATTCATTTCCAGTAATACATTAAAGTCTGAAATGATTTGAAAGTAATTGACATTCATTTCCAGATCTGTTTTATTTTAGTTTCATATTTTTAATAATGGAAAGGTGTACATTTTGTCAACCTTATGATGCAGTAAATCTGAATTTAATTTAATTTAATTTAAATTTCTGCAAATGGAATCTCCAGATGATAAAGTACAAATTCATATCTAAATCCAAAGTAATAAATATTTTTTACTCCCGTCTGTCGGCTGCAGTCAGGATCAGGTTCTGGACGAAGAGTTTCTGATATTAATCACATAATAATCTTCAGAGCTTAAAATAGTTATTAAACATAAAGTCTGCTTTACTTTGTTTTGCTGTTTGTATGTTGTATGTTCACATCGCACAGAGAAACTGAGAGGCGTCATGTGACGCAGTGATGAAGAAACACCAACGACATTTGATCGTTTTATTATAAATAACCGTATAAAGAAATATAAAAATAGCTGTTAGACATATCAATATTTACAAGAGAACAGAAAATAAATACGACGAACATTACAAATAAATTATTGGATTCACAGTGAGGCAGTAGGAACACTGAAGTAGTCTGTGTCTGTTGTTGGAGTCGGTGGTTTTCCTCAGCACCAGTAGTCTCTCGAGGCTAACGGGAGGCTGAAGTCGTGTCCATACATCTGTAGAAGAGAAGACGGGACACGCGTTAGCATTGGTGCAAATGTGACAGAAATGCAAATGTAGGAGTAAAAAAAACAAAAAAAAAAAAAACAAGCAGTAGTTCATGGTGACTGACCTGATAGGAGGCCTGTGTGGATGGAGGAGACTGCAGGATGGCGTCCACGCTGACGTCTCCCTGAGCAGCTCCACTGTAATGCCCGTTGTACTGATCCACTCTGAAACTACAGCTCCCATGATGCACCATGGCGTTGTGGTTGTAACACTGCTCGGGGTACAAGCTCTGCCCTGGGCTTTGGTTCTGAAGCTGAGGTTCCGGGCCCCCGGTGTTCCCTGCCTGGAGGTAGCTGTGGATGTCAGGTGAGGAGGTGTCGCTGGCCGACGGGTCTCCCTGTTCCCGACGCTGCTGGAACAGCACCTCCTCGCTGAGGCCCAGCTGGGCCGACAGGAAGGAGATGTAGCGGATGGTGAGGCGCAGGGTCTCGATCTTTGTCAGCGTCTGCCCGGCCGGGGCCACGGAGGGAGGCAGGTAGGAGCGGAGGTGGTGCATGGCCTTGGTCAGAACCCTCATCCTCAGCTTCTCCTTCTCGCTCGCGCTCTGTCTCTGTTTGCTGCGGATTCTTGGCGCCCGGCCCGACTTCCGGCCGCGTCCCGACAGGGAGTGAGGCGACGATCCGAGGCTCGGAGAATATCCAGACTTGGCCTTCCTTGGGGTGGACTGCGCCGGCACTGCTGGAACTGCCCCCCCACGCCGAGGCCCAGCTTGGCGGACAGGAAGGAGATGTAGCGGATGGTGAGGCGCAGGGTCTCGATCTTTGTCAGCGTCTGCCCGGCCGGGGCCACGGAGGGAGGCAGGTAGGAGCGGAGGTGGTGCATGGCCTTGGTCAGAACCCTCATCCTCAGCTTCTCCTTCTCGCTCGCGCTCTGTCTCTGTTTGCTGCGGATTCTTGGCGCCCGGCCCGACTTCCGGCCGCGTCCCGACAGGGAGTGAGGCGACGATCCGAGGCTCGGAGAATATCCAGACTTGGCCTTCCTTGGGGTGGACTGCGCCGGCCGCTGGTCAGGCGGAGACAGGCTGGAGTCCATAGAGTGAACGGGGGAGAGGGATTCTGGGGAGGAGATGCTGGACAGGTCCGAGTCGGAGCACCATTGGTACTGGAGGTCGTAGTTGAGCAGTGGCAGCGAGGAGGTATCCATGTTGTGTGAAAGGTCTCAGTGGTCTGAGAGGAGAAGCTCTGTGGCCGTGTGTGCTGCTCTGCTCCTCCGCACTGCTTTATAAATCCAGGCCAGGCCACGGAGGTGCTAAGTGACACCTCTGCAGATTCTCACAGGCCATCAGTGTGTGTCAGGACCCAGCAAACACACACACACACACACACTCCCTCTCTCTCTCTCTCTCTCTCCCTCTCTCTCTCTCCCCTCTGTGTCTGGGAAAGTTCAGCTCCAGGAGCAGAAGTGTGAAGTTTGACTCCTGCTCAAAACAATAAACAATTTTTTTGGCTCCCACTCAGATTCTTCTCCAATGCATTTTGCACATGGTGAAGGAATAGATGTTGTTTTTTTTTAAGGACTTGAGTAACTTTTTTTTCAACGCAGACTGAAAAGTAAAAGCTAAAACAAAAACTGAGATGTTGACACCAGGGGAAACAGTGGAAAAGGAGAACTTTACAAAAGTGAAGACTTTGTTATGATCCACACTGGACTGTTGACCATACACTGACCAGCAATTATTATTATTTATTTAAATATATTTCAGTATAGTATGAAAGCACATTGCCTCATTTTGAGGGAGAAGTAATTTCCATTTTTAATTTCATGTAAAAAATAAATAATAAATAAATAAATCATATGAAATAAAATTGACAAAATAATATAGTAAAAAAATAATATGGAACATAATAAGTGTTACTGTACGCTGACGATGTGCTGTTGTTCCGTTAGCCGTTAGCAGGTTAGTTCATGGTGCGATAGTGATTTTTTGTTTTGTCTACGTTCAACATGAACATGTGTCAACCATAATGATTTGGTTAATTAAGCACATGTTTTAACTATGTCCCACTGCAGCCTGGTACCAAATGACCAATGGACCGGTACTGGTCCGCGGTCCGGGCTTTGAGTCAGGAAAGATCATGACGTCATCAGCATAGACAGAAGCTGAATATCTAACCAGAGACTCCATGCATAAACGGACGTGAATGTGACATTAGATCAAAGCTGAAGTATATGAAAATGAGTTCGACACCCCTGCCTTAGATCAAAGCTGAAGTATAAAGTACACGGAGTGACCTTTAAGACTTTAATACAGAAACACAGACCACCCTGTCCTCACCCTGTCCTCGCCCTGTCCTCACCTCTCCTCACCTCAACCTTGACCCTGACTGCCCTGTCCTACGGCCCAGTCCACCTCAGGTCATCTCTCACCATCAGAGTCACTTTATAGCCACAGCATCTCACCCCCCCTCACCCCTCGCCCCCCCTCTCCTTTATCTGTACTGAGGAGTTACCACTGCGGTCCACGTCCGTGCTCTTCGTGACTAAAATGTAACAGAGAATCCACCGAGGCTTAATGAACCATAATGACTTCTTATTATCCAGTTAAAGCCGAGGTGTGATTGTTTCCACGCAGCTGAGAACTGATGAGTCTGGAGGCGTCGCTTCACACCTCAGCTGTGAGAACTCGAACCGCTGGTGGCTCCGCTCCGGCCGCTGCTGATCTGAACTCTGACGTCGCTGCTTTGTTTGTCGTCGTCTCCCCCCAGAAACACAACGAGTAATAATGAAATAACAAACTGAGCTGCAGTTGTACTTCATGATCGGAAAAGGATGAAAAAAATAAATACTTTTGAGTGAAGTCGTATATTTATGAGAATAAAATCACAATATTTTATATTTATAAGAACTCTCACTTTAACAAGACTGAGGCTGTGAACTAATAAGAGTAAATTTACAATAAATTTACATAAATGTACAAAATTTAATTTGTGGAATAATGAGATAAAGTGAAAATTCAAAGTGAAATTTTTTTGGTGAAAACTGAGAGAAGAGCAGCGATCACTAAAATTAAGAATTTAAAAACTCATCTTCTGAAGATACTCTTCATTTCCGGCTTCATGTAAAGTGTTTTACTTTATGTTCTGTCACATCAGGATCACGTCGTCATTGGATGACTGACTTTGAGGCAGGCTGCGTCTTCTTTGATTGGCTCGTTTCATTTTTTGATATAATTCCCAGATATTACACCTTGATTTTTCCTAATATTACAACTTAATTCCCATAAACTTTGAACATTTTTGTCAGGATAAAACAACTTGACTGTCATATATATATATTTATATATATATGTATATATATAAACTCTATCTACAATAATAATATCATAACTAATAATATCTAATAATATCATAACTTACTTAATTAATGCAAAACCCCTATTTTTTCTTATTCTATTTTTTTTTTCTTTTCCTAATCAGCCAGTGATAAAAAAATCCCACTACTCCTGACATGTCAGCCTCGGGGTCGGCTGAACTGGGCCTGAACTCCCAGTCTGACCCCTGCACTCACCCTGACAGAGGTGAGGCTGTGGGAGACTGCCTGTGAGTTTGGCACCTCTGGGCAGATGCCCACCCACTGCAGGCTCCGAGGCTGGGCCGCCTGCCACCTGTCTGGGCCGCCTCCTCC